GAGTAATTTTTGGGGAATTATTGATTAAAAGAAAAGGATTAGGTATTTTTTCTTGTTTACAATACATTTCATACCATTCAAAGAATGTTATATGAACATTATTTTCATCAATATATTTTCTCCAAGCTAATTGATGTCTAAGTTCTTTACTTGAATCGTTGACAAAATTGTAATAATATTCTCATTTTTCTTTATTATGATCAGCATAAAATTCTTTGAAAAGATATTGCATATTAACCWTTGGTTGAGACATTTTAGCAAATTATTAACTTACTTGAATGATATTTTATTGTTTCGAATTCAGAGTCTATGCTATTTTGTATCCAATTGATATACTTTATTATAAACGATAGTCTAATAAATATATGAGCTGGAATAATTTGTTTATTTTGTCTTTGTTCTAAAATTTTTGTTATCAAAATTTGTTTATCACGTTTTAGTTCTTTTAAATATTTATAATCATTATCTATTTCTATCCAACATTCGTCTATTATACTTTTGTTTATTTTATAGAGGAGTGATCATATGAAAACCGCCCTCATTTGTGTAAACTGTGCAAACCACATTTATTTGTCGATTTCATTGTTTAATCTTATGAAATTTTTTCATGAAATTGTTTAATCTTGTGAAATTGTTTCATATAATACTTTTTTTGATGAAGTTATTTCATATATGGTTATGAAATTGTTTCATATAATACTTAATGAAACTGTTTCATGTATTTCTCTAACATTAATGAAACTGTTTCATATATTTCTCTAAAATTAAAATAATGAAGATGATAATATCTATGATAAACACCCTTCACAATAAAAATGATTAATCAATCTCTTATAATTACAAAAAAATGAACAAAATGAAAAATTATGATTGGTTGAATGCGGTTTGCACGGTTTGTACAAATTAAGTGGTTTGCATTTGATCGCTCCCCTATATATATATATATATATATATATATATAATTATAGGATATGTAAATTAACATATAAAATAATAATCATAATAATAATAATAATAATTTATTATATTAGTTGATTGATTTTGACATTTTATGTATTTAATGAATGTTTAATTTCCAAGGTATTTGACACCCTTATTAAGGGGGTGCCGGTAACACTTTCTTTTATTTAATGGATGAGAGTGAATAACTTTTGATAGGAGAGACCAAAACTTTATAAAAATGCAAACTTTAGAAGTTATGTTAGAATAAAAAATCTCTCGGAGACTACATTCAAGACAAACATAGAACCAATTCTGTAATTTTCTCACAATCTAATTAATAGTTAAGTATTTTCATAAATCAACCATTTAAGTTCGGGTTCGTGACCAAATTAACCTTGTACTTGTAAATAATTACACATTTAACTTTCAATATGAAAACTATTACAAACTAACCCCTTGTTATGCATTGCGCACCACACGATGCGTACAGGGGCTTTAATGCAATTAAAATAAATAAAGGGGATGAGATGGACCATTGACTTGATCGAGGCGGTGACATGTCCTCCGGTCGTACATCAAATTGAAAAGGTAAATTACAATAATAATTATTGGTCCCTTGAGGGTCTACAAGAATAGTAAAACAATTTGTACAAGGGGGGATGAATACAAACACAATATTTTCAAATTTAAAATATATATTGATAAAGAAGATCAATACAAATTTTACAAGATTGTTTGCGGAAAGATAAGGTAATAAAAACCTATCTAAACAATCTTTGGTTACACACGAATTCTTAGCAAACAAGAAAAGAAATGTTGTAAAGAGAAGATCATTTACTTAAGCTAGAAAACGCTTGAAGTAAGAATTAGGTTTAAAGAGTGAGTTGCGTGCACTCTGCATGGAGAAGAAACACTTCTATTTATACCCAGTACATTAAATGTTCATTTAATGCAATATGGTAGGGTTAGAGTGCGTGTCAAGCCTTAAGAGGAACTTGTCCTTTGCCACAGTGAATAATACAAAAAACACTATTCATGGGCAAACATCCTTACCTAAGGTTGGTGGACAATAGAGTCGACTAGTCGGCTCCGTACTGTACCAACGTTTATAAGGGTATGGGTTTGTCCTTTGTGTGCATAAGGACAAGACGACAAGAATCGTGCTAAGCAAGTTTCCTTTGATCGCTGAATGCTGGAATGACCTGAAGGTCTCTTTATCATTCGCTGAGGCTTGAGCAGTCTTCACACATATGTAGACGGACTTGTAATCACTGAGTACCGCTTCAGGTCATGTACTCGCCAGTCTCTAATCTTCAGTTTCAGTCTTCGACATTTGCTGAAGGTTCGTTGGTGTGAGTGTTGTCTTCTTGAAGTATCGCTGTCTCTGATTGATTTACAATACAAGTTCTTCAGCGATCACTGAACAGACTTAATGAAGATCGCTGGAACTGAAAAGACAAAAACAAGAATACAACGTATAAGTGAAAAAGGATTATCATTAAATCACTGAGAGAGAGGATCAACAATAATCCTCTAGGTTTATCAAAAATTTTAGTTTTTGCCATTATCTTTTGAAATCATAAATATGGTCACTAAAGTTTTAGATTTGCTGCAAGAATGGTCCACTGATGTTAGATGATCGATATTTTTGTCTTTTGATTTTTTTATTGATTTTTTTAATGAGTCCTTGTAATATATATATATATATATATATATAACTTGTTAAAATATTTATTTACAAAAAGAAAAGAGAAAAAACCAACCCCATCTTCATGCCCTCTCCAAAACTCTAACGAGGTTACGACCACATCGCTGTATCTTTATTTTTATAAAATTTATATTGAAGCCAAAAATAAATTACTTCACTATTAGACTTAAATTAAATTATAATAAAAAATTGAATTAAAGAAATTGTACAAAAAATGATTAATAAAGAAAATAAAAAATGATATGATTTTTAATATCATCCAGAAGAGGGGAGAGGTTGTGTATCTTTAATTTGTATATTAAGCATATAAAATGACACCTTTTAAAATTTTAAGGATAACTGTAACTCATCTTATAAAGAAACATACATATAGATTGGGATTGAGGTTGAGATAGAATTTGAAAAGAATAAAAGAATGGAAAAATTCATCCAAATTATTAGATTGAGATGGATCAAAGGATGTGATTAAAATGTTGTTATAACCAAGGTTCTAAATGGATTGAGGCGTGGTGGCGTGACCAAGCCTCAAGTCTTAGAAGTCACAATATTTTTCAAGACTTGAATTATGATGACAAATCTATATATACTATACTAAAAGGGTACTCGTGCAATGCATCGAGATACATTTTCATTTTAATGTTTTGTTTTAATTTTTGTCTCTGTTGATGTAGTACAGTTTATGTGTTTTTGATAAAGATAATGTTTTTACTTTTGAATAAAAATATATTTGAGCATAATTTTTTGAAAAAGTATATCGATATTAATATCAAATTAATTATTTAAAAGTTTTTATTTTTTTGTACAATTTCTTTAATTCAATTTTTTATTATAATTTAATTTAGATCTAATAGCGAATTAATTTATTTTTGACTTGACAATATATTTTTTATAATGATAATGATACAGTGATGTGGTCGTAACCTCGTTAGAGTTTGGAGGAGGGCATGAAGATGTGGTTGTTTTTTTTCTCTTTTCTTTTTGTAAATGAATATTTTAACAAGTTATACATATATTACAAGGACTCGTTAAAAAATAATAAAAAGATAAAAAAAGATAAAAAGATAAAAAAGATAAAAAAAAAAAAAAAAAAAAAAAAAAAAAAAAAAAAAAAAAAAAAAAAAAAAAAAAAAAAAAAAAAAAAAAAAAAAAACAAAAAAACAAAAAAAGTCTATCATCTAACGTCAATAGACTATTTCTCCAACAAATCTAAAACTTTAGTGATCATATTTATGATTTTGAAAAGATAATGACAAAAACCAAAAATTTTGATAAACCTAAAGGACTATTATTGTAATTTATTTTTTCAATTTGATGTACGACCGTGAGGACATGTCACCGGCTCACCGGTCAAGTCAATGGTCAGTCTCATCCCTTTTATTTATTTTAATTGCATTAAAGTCCCTGTACATATTGTGTGGTGCTCAATGCATAACAGGGGGTTAGTTTGTAACAGTTTTCATATTTAAGGTTAAAAGTGTAATTATTTACAAGTACAAGGTTACTTTGGTAATTAACCCATTTAAGTTCCGTAGAAAATGGAAGCTAAAGGATATTTCATCGTTAAAAATAAGGATAAAACGGTAATTCACATAAATTAAACCAACGTGTATAAAGGTCGTTATGTTTTGACGTATTTTATCCATTACCACTGTCCCTTGATTTTTTAATCCCCAAATTTCTCTCTCATTGCTGTTGTGTGAAATTTGATTCAATGCTTCGTCAACGATATTACTTGAGGATTTCAACCTGAGCTCGTTTACGATCAATAAAACTTTGCTCTGATCGTGTACTAGGAGAATTTTCAAAATTTCTATGTCAAGAGAACGAATTCTTACACAAAGGTAGCGAATTGCAGGTTTAAGTTTTTCTTATTCCGGTTTCTCGTTATTTAGCGTTATTTATTGAGATTCTCTGTCGTGGAATTGTATACTAGTTTATTTGTTTCAATGAGGTATACAGTCAATTGCAGGCTTAAGTATCCAGTTTCGATTTCTCTTTATTTTGCGTATTTTGTGTCGTGGAATTGTGTACTAGTGTATTCGTTTCAATGAGGTAACAGTCAATTGCAGCTTTAAGTTTCCAATTTCGATTTGCCATTAATTTTGCATATATTCTTGCGATTCTCTGTCCTGGAATTGTATACCAGTGCATTTGTTTCATTGAGGTATTCAGTCAATTGCGGGTGTAAGTTTCAAATTTCGATTTCTCCTTAATTTTGCATATTTTCTTGAGATTCTCTGCCGTAGCATTGTATACTTGTGCATCGTTTCAATGAGGTATACAGTCAATTGCGGTGTAGGTTTTGAATTTCGATTTCTCGTTAATTTTGCATAGTTTCTGGAGATTCTCTGTCGTTGAATTGTATGTTAGTGTATTTGTTTCAATGAGGTATAAAGTATTGGAAGTTGTTTTTTCCTCTATTCAAAATTGATTTCGAGTATCGATAGTGAAGACTTACAAATTATATCCTTAGGATAAGAACTACCGGTTAACGTGCATTCACATAGTTCGAAAACTTTATGAGGTCTGTAATTGAATAATATAGATACAGATCAAAAAGCACAAGTAGATATGTAATGATGTGGTTGGTGTGCAGAGTGAGAGAGAGAGAGGGTCAGAGGGAGCTGTGCATCTCTTAGTTGTAATGTTTGAACATATGCACCTTGCTATGAACAGGATTAAATTCAATTTTCAAGTAAGCTGTGCCTTGAAACTGATAGTTGAATTAAGATGTGAAAATGAAATTCAAATGTTGATGGTAATATTTTAGAAATTCTGATTGCACTGAACTTATAACACAAATAGAAATTTGCTGTGAATCAATATTGATTTTGATTTGGACATGCACATGCACTAGGTTTGGCATCAACAATCAACACAGCTTATTCTGATAGAGCTGAGGTTGTGTATATTAACAAAGTACGAGCATTTATGCCTTGTTGTTAGGAATATGTTTTATTTACTAAAAATTTGCAGTATTGCGGAAATATTTTTATTTATGAACTGAGATGATTGAAAACTTATGGAAAGCCCTTTGAGTGCTGGAAGTGTTGACAATTGTGGAAAGTGTGGTATCTTGATCTTTATGTTTATTTTTTCGCCTCCTCTTAATGCTTAATTGGCAGATGGGAGATCAAGGATTTGCATATACATTGGATGAAGCACTTACTACAATTGGGTTTGGGAACTTCCAAGTTATTATCCTTGCATATGCTGGACTCGGTTGGGTAGCAGAAGCAATGGAGATGATGCTTCTGTCCTTTGTAGGGCCAGCCATTCAGCCTGAGTGGGGACTCTCTTCAAGTGAAGAGAGTTTGATATCAACGGTAGCTTTTGCCGGAATGCTGGTCGGGGCATACTCATGGGGTGTTGTGTCAGATTCTTATGGAAGAAAGTAAGTTCCTTTTTCTCTTAATTCCTATTTATATTTTTTTCCAGTTTCTCTTGATATTTACCATATTATGCAAATCATGCTATATATACGTAGTTGGATATGATTAGAACAAGAGATGTTAATTCCATACACATCCTACCACATCACATGGAGGTATGTTACTGTAAGAATGGACGACTCCCTATAGGGATTAGAGACAAATATCAGAGAAATTATGTTATATTGAGAACCTTCGATGACGTTTACAAGCCCAAAATCCTGTCTCAGGTTTTGTACAAGAACCCTAAATTTAGGCTTTTTATATATGGTGTAAATGGATTTGAAAATTACAGATGACCAAAACAATCTCGAGCTATTCCAAACCATGAAATGATTGATTTCCTTTGGCCCAGGGTCATCACAAATCTTTTTGTGTGCTAATACGGAGTATGCATTTACTAGTAAGTTTTTGGACTTGTTAGAACTTGTCTAAAAGTGATTTCCATTACATACTTAACAATGTACGATAATGTATGATTGAGATGGATGCCCATGGGATAAATAGAGGTTGCATGGTGGTAGAAGGCCATATTTCATTAAAATTCCGTAGTCATACTCTCTCTTCCAGTAATGAATTTCCTTAGGGATTGAAATTCCAACAGAAGTCTTGCAAATAATAGCATCCAGTGAGAGTTGGTAATATGCTAAAAAATCCAAATGGCATTGTATTTTTGAGGTTATCAGGACAACTTAGTCAAGTTGGCAATGCCTTCGCCACTGGAGGTCTGATAGGGTTTTACCATACACACCCTTGAGTGTAGTAGATTAATATTCATCTCAAACCAATATTAAGATTTTTTAGATAAATCCCTGGCATGAGGAATACTATCTGCTACTGCTTCGTGGCCAGATCAAATATTCTTTCCTGGGACTTCAAAGGTTCAAATATACACACCTCTAATCATCATTTTTACTCAACCTCTTTTTGGTCTCGTTGCTTTGCCTTTCAGGAAGGGATTCCTTGGTGCAGCTATAGTAACAAGCGGAGCCGGGCTTTTAAGTGCTTTCGCACCAAATTATATATCATTGTTGATTCTTCGTTGCTTTGTTGGTGTTGGTCTAGGCTGTGGGCATGTGTTTACATCATGGTTTCTAGAGTTTGTTCCTACTCCAAACAGAGGGGCTTGGATGGTTGTTTTTTCAGTTTTCTGGACAGTTGGAACAATTATTGAGGCTTCACTTGCTTGGGTATGTCTAAAAGGCCTTCAACTAAATAATTATACTCTATCCTGTTTAGGGCTAGGTCTTTACATATATTTAAGCTCAGCATCTTAGTTTGTACAGCCTCAAGTTCTTCCTGATTTCTAATTTCATTTTATTGCAGTGGATCATGCCTACCTATGGTTGGAGGTGGCTACTTGGACTATCTGCAGTTCCATCACTTGTGGCACTACTGTTTTATGGTCTTGTGTCAGAATCTCCAAGATACCTTTGTACACAAGGGAGATTAACCGAGGCACGCTATATTCTGGAAAAGGGAGCTGACTTCAACCATAAAGAACTCCCTGTAGGCCTACTTGTTTCTGATCAGATAAAGGATATGGCCAGCAATGGTCAGTCATCAGAAACTACCGAGCTACTCTCCTCAATGAGAACCAATGATTCTTCCCGAAGAAGCACTTCATCCATACTCATGCTTTTATCACCAAAGTTGATCAGAACAACGTTTCTCTTATGGTTTTTGTACTTTGCCAACACATTTTCATATTATGGGATTATACTGTTGACTTCACAATTAAGCACCGGGCAAAGTGAATGTGACCCACCCACTTTGCAGTTGGAAAATATAAAGGATCCTAGCCTCTATATAAATGTATTCATCACTAGCTTGGCAGGTACCCCGGATTGAAGTTCTCTTGTATTTAGTTTTTTCTTGTAAAAAAGTTTTTTTTTACCTGCTATGGCCATCAAGCATTTAACATAGTGGTATTTGTGTCCATCCCTTAGGTGGTAATGCCTTTCGAGGTCATGGATTCATAACCTTACGAAGTCTGATTTGATCATGTGGGTATATTCTGCAGAGCTTCCTGGGCTTGGTATAGCAGCTTTGATATTGGACAGATTGGGTCGTAAGATTTCGATGGAGATTATGATCGTTGCAGGATTCATTCTATTACTACCACTGGTTGTGCATCAGAACCCAATAATGACCACGGGCTTTCTATTTGGAGCTCGTATGTTCATTTCAGCAAGCTTCATCGTTGTCTGTATCTACGCCCCAGAGGTATGTATTTGTTATATTCCCTCCATCCCATCAAAATGGCAAGAAATTCAATTTTGAGATATCCAATGACAGTTGCAACACTTTCATCTTTGAAAAGTTTTCTTTACAAATTGATAAATATTTTATTTGGGTCCACAATACATTTACCCAAAACTATATCTCTCATCCAATGTTGCAATTTTCATGGAACAAATATCATTAACAAAATTTGATGATCTCTATACCCATATCAGACCTCCATATGAGACCATTAAATAAGATAGTATATTATTGCATAATATAAATTATCATTTCGTTTTTGTTTACATTATTTTGGGGGGGATTTATAGGTGTATCCAACAAACTTAAGAACAAGAGGAGTTGGAATAGCAACAGCAATAGGCAGAATAGGAGGTATGGTATGCCCTCTGATAGCAGTTGGGATGGGTAGTGGTTGCCACCAAACACTTCCAGTAATTCTGTTTGAGGTTACAATACTTGTATCAGGAATAAGTGTTGTGCTGCTTCCATTTGAGACCAAGGGGAAAGAATTAGCAGACAATATAGATTTACCTGTTCAACATGTATTACAGGTTCAATGAATGTCTTTGTATCAATCAAAGTTAATTTACATGCAATAATAAATTTTAAATAAAATGAATTTCACCGTCAATATTTTTGTTGGTTACATCAACTTCATTGTTTGATCACCTTAAATATTTAAACAATTCCAATTTGTGTTTATTTGTCAATATATTTATGTGTTATATCAGACATATATGTGGTTTCCCTTAACTGTTCTGGGGATTTGTCATTTGTCTTAATATCCTCTCTAATAACTCTCAGAGCGCTCTCAGCTTGCATAAATATTGTACCACAAACACAATAAGTACACCAAAACAAACAAGCCCCATATATCGTATGGAAAGGTGGGGTGAGATATACATTGTACTTACATCTACCTTAAAGATAGAGAGAACAATTGTTTCCATGAATATCTAAAAAATGTGAGAAAAAGAAAGCTTGCCAGAGAAATGTCACATTTAAAAAAAAGTTAGATATTGATTTGATGTCATACCTTCCAATTAGGTTTTAGCCATGTTTTCGCTTAAAAAGTTGGAAAGGTTTCTTATTTATCAAAGGGTATTGCTATCGCTCAACTTGTTACCTACGAAACTATTGTTGGAGTTCGCCATTCTTGGATTGCCTTGACTTTCTCAAGATTCACTTTAATTCCCTTGCCGCTTACAACAAATTATAGAAAAAACAACTTTATCCATACAAAATGTGTTTTTTTTTTCAAGTTAGCATACATTGATTCATTCCTTAAGGTGTATACAACAACATGTAAATGCATCATGCGATCTTCCATGTTTTTACTATAAATCAAGAATTCAAGATGTCATCAAAGTAAAAGACAACAAATTTGCCAATGAACTCAGTAACACATGATTCATCAATCTCATGAATCTCTTACGCGCATTAGTTAGTCCAAAAAGCATAACTAACCACTCGTACAATCCAAATTTTGTTTTGAATGTAGTTTTCTACTCGTCACCTTCTAATCTGATGATACCCAATTTTAAGATAATTTTTTGTAAACATGATAGCCCCATGCAACTCATCTAGCATATCATCTAACCTAGGAATAAGATAGTGATACTTTACTATTATTTGATTGATGACTCTACAATCGATGCATGTTCCCCACTCATCTATCTTTTTGGGCACCACAATGAAGGGAATAGTGTTGGTCCATTGAGGGTCTACAAAAATAGTAAAACAGTTTGTAGAAGGGGGGGGGGGGAGATGAATACAAACACAATATTTTTCAAATTTAAAATATATATTGATAAAGAAGATCAATACAGATTTTACAAATTGTTTGCGGAAAGATAAGGTAATAAAAACCTATCTAAACAATCTTTGGTTACACACGAGTTCTTAGCAAACAAGAAAAGAAATTGCTGTAAAGAGAAGATCTTTTACTTAAACTAGAAAATGCTTGAAGTAAGAATTAGGTTTAGAGAGTGAGTTGCGTGCACTCTGCATTGAGAAGAAACACTTCTATTTATATCTAGTGCATTAATTGAGCATTTAATGCAATATGGTAGGGTTAGAGTGCGTGTCAAGCCTTAAGAGGAAGGCTTGTCCTTTGCTACAGTGAATAGTACAAAAAACACTATTCATGAGCAGACATCCTTACCTAAAGTTGGTGGATAATAGAGTCGACTAGTCGGCTCCATACCGTACCAACGTTTATAAGGGTATGGGTTTGTCCTTTGTGTGCATAAGGACAAGACAACAACAGTCGTGCTAAGCAAGCTTCCTTTGATCGCTGAATGCTGGAATGACCTGAAGGTCTCTTCAGCATTTGCTGAGGCTTGAGTAGTCTTCACACATTTGTAGACAGACTTGTAATCACTGAGTACCGCTTCAGATCACGTACTCGCCAGTCTCTTATCTTCAGTTTCAGTCTTTGACATTTGCTGAAGGTTCTTTGGTGTGAGTGTTGTCTTCTTGAAGTATCGCTGTCTCTGATTGATTTACAATACAAGTTTATCAGCGATCACTGAACATGCTCAGTGATGATTACTAGAACTGAAAAGACAGAAACATAAATTCAATGTATAAGTGAAAAGGGATTATCATCAAATCACTGAGAGAGAGGATCAACAATCTCCCCCTATTTGATGATAACAAGGCGACATAAAGAAAGTTGTCTTATCAAATAATAGTAAGAAAAAGTTACATATAAAGTACATGTCCCTTTTTACTATTTTGGGATCTTTTTCAATGAGTCAGTCTCAGCTTGAGAATATTTCTTAAGTTATATCTAAGAAAAATTTACAAGTACAAAAACTGAAATTGAAAGCTTACTCACTGACTTATAGATTGTCAGTGAATGTAAAAAGTAACACTGGAACTCATAGACTTGTGTCCTTATTACTTTTTTCAGGGTTTTTTTTCCAGTGAAGTACATGAAATACTCATTTTATTATCATTGGAAATATTATAAGTATTACAGTACATGTCTAGTGCTTACAAATTATAAGTACAATTACTGAAAGTAGACATAGTACAAGAAGTTACAAGGAAAAGTGGATTGTTGTTACAAAGAGAAACTATTCTAGAACATTTAGATCTATGTAACTAGGTACATCTTCACCAAGGTTTCTTCGACGTAGGAATTCCCTTTGTATCTTCAGATCTATGACTTTTCCAGGCATACTATCATCTATCCAGAGCAAGAGGTAAACCAGATGACTCATTGGACATAGATGTAGCTCTAATATTCTCTGAAATCTAACTTCACCTTCATAGTCAAGGAATATAACTCCTAACTCAGGTTTAAAATGCATAGAGTTGGGTGTATAGGGACCCTTATTTGGCAAGTCAAGATTCAACATAGAAATGTCTGTACTCTGGTGAYCMTTCAGGACTTCATCTAAGGAGAACCTTGTTTCATGTTCATTCCTTAGGAATGGTCCATCATTAGGATCAGAGAGCTTGAGTTTCTTCTTCCCACCTTTCTTCATAGATGGTCTGTCAGGGACCTTAACATACCCGGACATCCTTTTGATGAGCTCACTGATGGTGTCCTCGATAAGTGTCTTGTGTCTCGACTTGGATCGCTGAATGACTTGTCTAATCTCCATCCATTCGCTGTATCCATAACGGCCTTGGTAGAAAGGGTACCCGGTAACGGCATCATGATTTTCCCTGGTGATGAGCATTGAGACCAGTGTTCCACCGTCTTTAGAACTGGGCTGATTCTCTTTTTCAGCTTTGCTTCGCTTCATCGCTTGTCTTTTTCCATCAGCTTCAGGTTCCTCTCATGCTCAAATTCTACAATAGAAAGAAGTTTAGCCTGGGCTTGGACAACGTTCATCATTTTCTTGAACTTTTTCTTGGGGAGGACCTTCGCAGCTAGTGACTTGGCCAGCTTCAAGCTGTCTTCAGTCTGCTTCTTTTGAAGCTCTAGCTATTCTTCAGCCCTCAATGCCTCGAGTCTTTCAGCTTCAGAAAGGAAGTCGAACTCACCACCACTAGAGGTACGAACAAGAATTTTTACTCTAGTCTGGTCGAGTGACTCCTTTAGCTGAGACATCTACTGGTCGGTAGGAGCACATGAGACAGGGTGATCAGGTACCCACTCCAGTCGACCGCAGGTTGTTGATGGAATATGAAGTTGATATTTTGAAGTAATCACTATCTGAGAGGTAGAATCTTCAAATAAAGGTTGTTGAGGGATATTGAACAATACCTTCAAGTTTCCTTCTTTAGCGACCGCCTTGCCTTTTGACTTGGGGTCCTGATGGAGTAGATTCATCTTGCCTTTGCTCTCCCTGGGATGCAGAATCACTGAGAGCAACTCCTTTGGTGACGGTTGATGGTTTCTGGTACTTGATGGTAAAGTCATCTTCATCATCATCGTCGTCGTCGCCATCTAGATCACTTTCGGGGTCTGGAATGGTAGGTTCATCATCATCTTTATCATCATCATCATCAACACCAGCAGCAGTGATGGAAGAGGCATCATCCCTAAGGATGACATCGACATCGACATCCTCAATTGGAGCAACTTCGGTGGTCGGGATTACAGAAACAGCAACCGCTTCAGCTCTAGGAGCCTCAACTTTAGCTGCAACTGAAGCTGATACTGGACCAACAGCCTGAGAAGGAGCAGGAGCAGCATCGGATGATTCACCAACATTGGACCTCATCTCCCCCTCTCTAGCTAATACTTGAGAGAATTGGCCAGAGAGTTCGTCCAAGCATTGACGCTGGAGAACCATTATTTTCTCTAGCCTTGACAAAGCACTGGCTAGAGTTGTCGTTGCCTCACGCGTCTCATGGAGTTGGGCGTGATCACTGGCAGAGAAAGAAGGTGGGATCACTGGAGCTGGTTGACGGACATCATCTAGGATCTGTTGAAGAAGACTAGTCTGCTGATCAGCGATAGCCTGAGCATCGTCATCCTTGCTGTGAAGAACAACAATGGCATCGGTGTTGGCTTGAACAACTTCTTGGAGAGTCTGAAGATGACTCTAAACTTCTTGAACGTCCCGCCTGGATGGCAAGGAAGCTCGCATCAAGGTCACCCTGGCGGGGCATCTCCTGGTGGACTTCATTGATCCTGCAGAGGACGGTATCAACAGCTGGAAGGAGAAGTTTGATATCTGATGACATATCATAGCCATCATCAATTTCTTCATCTCCTCCATCATCTTTCTCGCCCCCGTCCTCTTCCTCTCCCCGAGCATCAGGCTGATGCATCGAAGAAGGACCTGCAAGAGAGGAAGTGTGAGCTAAAGGCTTAAGGTAAGTAGAAAAGAATGGGTAGGAAGATGGAATACTTGAGAGGCTATTAATGACATCAAAAGGATTGTCACTGGTGTGATCAAAGATGTCGTCGAGAGGATGGACATCTGTATGCTGAAGAGCATCGAGAGGAGCAACCTCATGTCCAATGGTGCGCTTTTCAGTATCAGGAAAGACGGTTGCTGATACATCATTGACATGTGTAAAGACCAAAGAAGGAGGATAAGAGAAAATGGTCGAGAAGAGACGTGGGTGTTCAGCGGTGGCGACGCTGATATTCACACCTTCAATAATTTGGGTCACTGAGGCGGTTGGGGTAGGTACCACTGATACGACAGTGATGAAA